GATATTGGAGGATGTGCTTGGTTTTCATTTTTTGTGAGGATTTTTCAGATTTGTTATTTTGAGAATCTCACAGTGGAGGTGTACAAAAAGAGCTAAATAACAGCCGTGTCAGACCATCAAAGTGTTCTCCTTCACCCCTCTGCAATACTCTGTCACTACAAGCCTTATCATATTGATTGTCTCTGTGACTGTGGATCTCATCTTTTTTATGGGAGAAATTAGAAACAGTGATCTGTTATCATGTGACAAAGAAACCAATAAGCCTTGTTACAGCACTGCTAGCATTCCACTGGAGATGGTAAGATCTTATATCTATTTGAAACTGCTGACAAGAACAAGAACACACAAGCATCTGCGTGATTCAATAGCTCTGCCTGTACAAACAAACCAAACATCTACACCTCGGTTGTGTGGAGAGTCATATAAAGCAAGCTGATTCCCACACACAGTTTCCTAACTGTGTGGCATGCTCTGACATTATAAACAGGCTTCATGAGGAAGAAGAGTACATCAGTAATTGTTGTGAGGGATGGAGGCACAGCCAGTCAGTGCAGCAGGCCTTCAACTGGCTGATTGTGTCTCTTTGCCTACTTGTGATAATTAAAATGACTCCACCTCCCCCCGTTCCAGTCACAGTGGTGGCATCGCAAAGTGAGCAGCAGAGCTGTTATTGCTTGTCCTTCAGCTGAAAGGATCGTGATGGTCAGAGAGCTGAGGGCTTTTGTTCTGAAAGCTGAAAAATCTGGTGTCCAGCCTGGGCGGTTTTTAGCAATGCACCCTGGGAAATGAGTTATCTAAGCAGTGCATGCAAGAAACCCTGACATTAATCTTTAATTAAGGCCTTTACAATTTCGGACGACATGCCCGGGAGTATGAGAGTTACTGTGGAGGATAGATATGAACAGTAGGCATCTTGTGGTGAGCCCATTTTGTCTCATCAAAGTCAGGAAACCACTGATTTGCCAAGACGTTGCCCGGCTTTTCTTTTCAGCTGTTTGGATCACGAGTCACACTGTAAGGTAAGCTTGGCAGAGAGACAGTCCTGTTTTCTTTTTTGAGAAAACAGATAACAATCCCTAGAGGTAATGGTAGTGAAACAGTGCTGTGTGGCTGCTTTGTTTTCTTCGTGATGATCCAGATTGCTATGTATTCCACAGTTCTTGATGAGAGGATGTCTTCTGATAAGTATTTGCCTGAACACATCAGTCACATCCCATCGTTGTTTTTTCCCATCTGATTTTGTTTTTTCGGTAACTGGTTGTAGATCTGTGTTGAAAGAGCTAAGTGATAAACCTGCTGGTAGAACCAGCACACTACTGAGGCTTTTCTTGGTTTGTGACAGCTGCTGCCTTTCTGATGTTCCACAAAAAGCCCCCAAGACACAACCTGTTTCATTCTGGCTGAAGATTCACATGAAAAAAAATAAGTCTCCTATGAAACAGAATGGGACTTAGCTAATTGTTTTGATTACTCCTTTCCCTGATCCCAGTAGGATGAAGGAATTATAAAGCTGAAAGTGGTGGTTTAGGGAAGAAGGGACTGAGGAAAAGTGGTAGCACATCTCCCTGCGGCAAGATTTGTTCACTGGCAACAATGAGAGACAGATGGAATGGTGGTGCTGGTGGTAGCAGGAAGGAGGGGATGGTCTCACCTTTTGTGAGGCAAAGCAATTGGGAGCGATTAAACCCTCATTTGCCGTAGGGACTATCCACTCTGAGGAAGGAGCTGGCTCCAAAAGCGCCTGCAGCACTGTTCCTTTTATCGCTACTCCTTGTGAAGACCCTGTAAATGCAAGGGGAGTAGTTAATGTGAAGCACACAGTGTTCTGCTGGGCTGGTTCACTGTTAATGTTCAACATCATGACAGCAAATGAAAAAAAATCTTAGGTTGTCTGCACCACTGCAATGGATCATCTATGCAATAAGAGTGCGGCTTAACCCCTGTAATTAAACTTGTGACCTAAACATTTATACCTTGTCCCTTTTTACCACATAGAACATTTCAAACCTCCTATCTAAACATGTGCAGATTCCACTTTACATAGATTTGATTTGCCACCACCTGGAAACAAACAATGATTGAATGCTTGACATGCTTTCATCCTCACTGTCAGCCATTTTCATCCTAGATTTGGCAGATAAGAATATATCCTTTTCTATTCCCATCATGAAACTGGTTCAATACCCAGCGGCACAGGCTGGCTAAGGCATCTTGGTATCCACCGTAACTGGCTGCTCATCAGCCCGAGAGCACCTGAATGCTGAGGGGCCCCTCCATCAATGGTAGACAGACAATCACAAGTTCCTCGCCAGGTTATTACGAGTCATTCATCACCTGCGCCTGCTTGGTGTTTCCCTGCCTTCAGCTTCGCTTCAACTTCAATACTTTCAAATCCCTGTACTTACCCATTCGTCTGTTCATTGCACTTCTTTTCAGCTTTTCCAACATGTCTTTTATCTCCCCACCTCCATTTCCCCAGCTTAGCCCCACACCAGCCTGTGCACCTGGCTTATGTGAGTCTGTGCTGCAAACGCTCCAGGAAACACACAGCACAAAATGTACTAATCAAAAGCTATTGACAGGCTCTGATGCTGCACTGGTGTGTGCTTGAAAACACATTGAGCCTACACCTTGAGAGAAGAAGCATCCAAAAAAATATATATAACTGGCTGTGGTCATTGTTCTTTTGATTTGCTGCTGCCTCTTAATAGACACACAATCCATATCAGCCTAGCATCATGTGGGGCTGCTCTCCTGTGCAGTTACACGCTGGCAGCACCATGGCAACCACAGCAATTCATTGGCTGATGTCTCCTCCTGTGCACAGCACAGGTCTTGCTATGTAGGATATTGGTTTTTTACTTGCTACCCTGGCCCCTTCATAATGTGCATTAGCTGTGGTTTCTCAGGTACCCAGCCGTCATGTAAGCTTACCTTCCATTTGGTTCTGGATGACTTTGAAGGACAGGAGATGGAGAGAGCTGGGGATGACTGTGACAAAACGCTCCAAGTCTCTGAAATGGTGTTGGTACTATGAAAGCCTGAAGGTGTTAAATTAAGTGAGACTTGACTCCATTATCAAAAGTAGCCTTTATCAAACCTGTCATAAAACCTCTAATAACTGTGATTCTGTTTACAGATCCTATACTGTTTTTCTCCTAAACTTTTGATGATGTATTTACATAATAATTTGGTTCTGTATTTTCTATTCCTTTAATGGTTTAGTATTATTGTGATTTGCAATATGCTAAATGCTCTTTATTAAACACCCAGAATGCAGCTGAAATCAGCACAACACAGTTAATGCCCAATCTGTTCAATTAACTGAATAGATGCTCTTCTATAGATTGGGCGAATTTGTTTGAGACATCTCATATCTTAGAATGAAATTGTTCATTTTAATTTGATAAAATGTCGACATTTTGGTGATACAAGTTTTGCCCATCACTAATGAGCTAATATCATTGAATTACTGTTGGGAGTGATTTCAGTGCTTTTATCCATTTCTTTGCTAATAAAACTAATAAAAATCAGTTTTAACCCCAGGTTGTTTTTGTTTGGTTTTCACTCCCTTTTTGACAGGCTTCTGGCATAATCACTACATGTATTGGCTAGGCATGCCATTTATTTCTGTATAGAAGTTTATTCTTGCCAACAAGGACTAAGAGGAAAGCCAGATAACGATCAAGGAGGCCACTCATATCCAATGCAACTTCCACACTTCAACTTATGGACCACTGGATGTGGTTAAAAATGCAATCATTCCAATAAGTTTACCTTTGAGGTTAGATTTTGTTACATATGCCATATATTGTTTCGACAATGTTGTAGGGCTTCTTTTATTACAAAAAGGTTTCATACAATTTTAAGTTGTTTTTCTCTGTATGTCAGAAGCTTTCCAACATACAACAAAAAAACTGTTTATGAATGGATAGAGATGAATATCAGGCTTCCAGAGATATAACATCATATTAATTTAACATTATACACTTCTAAGGTGTATAATGTAGTGTAAAAAAAAAAAAAAATAGTTCAGTTGTTGAGTGAGCTGTGTACTTCATCTGGAAAGATGATGATGTGCCTCCTTTGCAGTTCAAACATCGATGTACAGACAACTATTCATTAGATTAATTTAGATACTGTGGAAAAATGTGATGTTTGTGAGGCAAGATCTGATGTTTGTGCTTTTTTCATACTTTCTAAACGGATTTATCCTCTGTGGACATTGGAGATACTGCAATCACCATAAAGAGTAAGTTGCCCTGAATTCAGCATGTGAATGACATCTGTGCATTCACCAAGGTATGACTGTGGTGTGACTTTTGATCCGAAATGATCTGGGCACAGGAGGTTAAACAGGCGGTTGGAATACTTAAATCCCTTAAATACAGGGCCTGTAACAACTTGCGTTGAATAAACTGCCTTATCAACTGCACTCCTCTGGAATATATTTTGTTGTCTGTTGTTCTTGTCAGCCATGTTCCCAGGTGTCTGACACTTTATATAAGAAAATATATGACCCCTCTTCACAAATACACAAAGCGCATGGAGCTTTCAGTACAGTATTCCCCCCAAGCACCATCCCCACACATTCATTAAGTATGCAGTTATGAAAAGCAGAACGCATATGAATATTGAAATGAATAATGTATGTTTTTGCTTTTGGCTATATCAAGATCTGAGTCAAACAGGCTTGATCTCGCTGCAAGCTTCAAGGAACTGCAAATGTCAGTTAGTTTTTTTTCTCCTTTAAATTTAAAATGTACACTATATGTGTATGTTCTACTTTTATTTATAAACATTTTAGCAGTGAAACAAAACATGTTAAGGCAAAGACGAAGGGACAACGATTTTGATTCACGGTCATGTAAATTGTGTTATATATTATATGTTATGTATTATAATATTCAAGCCCTGACACTGCAGACATATATTCAGTATTTTGTGCTCTCTTGCACACAGCTGTCTCACCAGTCAGTGCAACACAAAGTTAGCATTCATTCATTTAATCTCATTTCATTTTAAATACAATATATACAATACAACATTTGAAATGATACGTGTAAAAAAATATATGTCATCTTACAATACAGTACCATTTAGAGAACGATGGAAAGTAAAACAGACACCGAAACAACATCTTAACACTCTCGCTGCACTTAACAATATACAGCACATGTGAACTCTGAACCTGTTGTAAGGTAGTATCGGTAGGCTTCTACGTACACACCCAGTACAATTTCATTAGCAAAAGCTGAACACTAATTCATAGATCCTGACGTACAAAGTGGTACAGAGTTGTTTTATCCACTGAAAATGCTTTTGTTCATGCACTTTGTACATGCTCCACTGGAAGACAGCTCACATTTCAAATAACTCAGGATCCACACATCATATACACATTCATCACTTGCCTGGAGCTTTGGGGATCAGACCCTCACAGCCAATATAATTAAACAAACTTAGACAGTTACCTGCCTGCAAGTGATTCATAAACCTCTGCCCTTTTCTCACAGAGATCTGCCAATGCAGTTAGTGTTTAATTATTGACAAATTGACAAGATGGCCATTTACTAACTGTAAGTACACACCAGGAGGAGAAAACAGTTGTTTCTTAAGTATTAAGTGAAATGTACAGTATAATAGATCATGTGCACACTGTTCACTCAAGGCCTTAGTATGGATTGTGGTTTCCAAACACGCTGCTGATAGCAAAGAATGCTGTGCGCAGCAGTTTGATGACATCCAGTTGAGGAATTTATGCAGCTTTTGTTGTTATCCCCAAGATGTAAATCTGTCCATAAATCTGCAGCGTGCAGCTAGTTTTGGCTGGCATCTTATTTCAAATAAAGATTAGACAGCAATTTCTCCTCCAGAAATATCAGCCTCACAACACGGTTGCTCTACTTGGGCATGAGGCGTATCAAAGCTATCCATTACACTTGTAAAGCAGCTAACTGCCCTGCGGTGACATCATGTGTTTAAAGCTCATAAGCAGGTAATACTAGGCTGAAGTGGTACCATGGTGTGCGTCATAAAGAATACCACACATGCTGCACAAAGTAGATTGTGTTTCTAAGCATCATCCATTCAAACAAGATCCCCTCCAAGGAGCTGATCCATGGAGGTCATGGAATCATTCACCAACATGAATGCCGACATTTCAAGGGAAATGCTGAGGAAAAACAATAAGTATTGTGAGGTGGTGGGCATTTTAATTTCATTTCAGATAGTACATGGGGGATTTGCTGAGGAAGGCTTTCGAGGTGGCGATACAAGCCAATCTTCGAAAGGTCTTGATCTGTGACACTGAACAAGACCTTGAGGGAAAACATGGAACAGGTGGCTATTGCAACAGCAGAACAAAGGTTCACAAAACTGTCACAGCATGCTTAATGACGATCTGCTTCCACCTCACGTTCCTAAAGAACGCCAGTGTTATGTAAACATTTGCCTCTTTATTGCATTGTTGAGTGATTTCTTAATGCTATTTCATTGTAGAAATGATTCTGAACATGGGTCACTGACAGTTACAATTGAACATGGAAATGACGTGGTTATTTTCAAAGAACGGCTCAGAATTGCTTTGAGCATCATGGTGATGATGTGTTAACATGTGCAGCACTAATTCTTGTGAATGTTCGCTGCTAAACAACATAAAGCAAGGTGGAGAATTGTAAAAGGATCTTCAGAAGAAAGCCAATCAAGTTTCCCCAAAGCAGCAACAGACTGTATGAACTGAGAGCAAAGATCACAGAGAGGCAACCATGTAGGAGCAGAAACATTGGAGTTGTGGGAGTGCAACACTGGGGAAAGAACGAATTGAGATCCTATAGCTTCAGGGGAGATGTTGTTTTGCTGGTGTAGAGAGTGAGGCAAACACAGACCAATTTACTGGGGGAAAATTGTGCTGTGGTGAAAAAAAAGAGACCTAAGAGCAGACCTGGCCCATTCTTCACTGTGCAATCTAATCTCAGCTCTTGGAGAAGATGGGTGAAAACAAACATTGTTCTCCTGTCAGCAACCCTGATGGAACATACAGTGCAAGTAAAAGAGTTCAGCCCACTCACACACACCCACCTCAAACACAATGAAGAAGATGATCAAACTGGGAAAGAATATTTAAAACTGAAAAAGTTAGGTGTGATATGATGAATATTCAAGGCAACAATGACCTCGGATACTTTCCTGGTGGGTTTTCGAGGAGGAAAATGGGGACATTCTCGGAGGATCTCATCGCTACACTTTTGCAGGCTCAATATCAGTCATGAAAAATGGCTAAAGACACAGTAGCTTTAATTGTTATTTATGGTATTTTCAAAGAGAACCTCACGCTTCATAATTGCTATCCATTCCCCATTTATAAATAATTAGTCGTGCATAATAATATTGAGAAAAGCAACAGTGGTCAAGTATAATAAAATAAACAAACTGTACTAAATCAGAAATTTGCTCTTCCCTAAGTGAGATTTGTCTTAATTCCTCACTTGAAGCACTTTTATGAAGAGGTTTCAAAATATTCATAAATGATCAGTTAATTTCATCATCCACTAATGACTTACAAATATGTCTTCAAGGTAGGGATGGGTGATATGGTTGAAATTAATATTGTGATATGTTCCTTTGATACTTTCCTGGTGGGTTTTCAAAGAGGTAAATAATTAAGGACCAAATGGGGACATTCTCACAGGATCCCAGGGCTACACTGTTGCAGGCTCAAAATCAGTCATGAAAATTGCACAGACACAGTAGTTTTAATTGGTATTTACGGTATTTTCGAGGAGAACCTTACGCTTCATAATTGCTATCATTTCCCCCCATTTATAAATAATAAGCGGTGCATGATACTTATAAAAGCAACAGTGGTCAAGTGTAAAAAAATTAAGAAAACTGAAGTAAGTCAGTAGTTTGCTGTTCCCTAACTGTGATTTGTCTTCATTCCTCACTAGAAGCACCTCTGAAGAGTTTTCAAAAACATTCATAAATGATTGGTTCGTAGCATCATCCACTAATGACTTACAAATATGTCGTCAAGGTAGGGCTGGGCAATACGATTAAAACTAATATTATATTGATACTGATATATCACAATATGGAAGATGCATGCACAAACATATGAACACATTTAAAATGATAAAATTGATGTTCAATGCAATGAAATGTGTTTCACTGTTACGCTTTACACCAGACAAAACTCTTTAAAATTTGTAAAACAAAACCATAGACCAAAAACCAAAAATGTTAGTCCATCTCTTATTTCATTCTGTGATCCTTACTCTTTCTGTGCCTCTCAACTCAGAGCCCATTCATCCCTACTGAAAACATAAATCTTAAAAAACAAGTCACAGATATATTGTTTTGAAAGGCTCTGTAATTTCCTAAAGGAGTTGGCCACTGTAGCTTTTAGCAAATGTTACTCAAACAGGAAATCAGCAGTGGATTCATACAAATTTGGTGCTTTAGTAAGTATTTACAGCAGAATAATGATGGATACAGGGTTGAAGGTCTAGTACCGAAACATTGTGTCAATATGTATTTTTTGCAAGTTTGACAGTGTGCGAGAGTATTAACAACCTTGAGTTTTCCCTTTGCTAAGGGGCTGACTCAAAATCAACTGCAGTAACCAAGTTTATTGTAATGAAGTAACATGCCACCCAATAAAACACTGATTTTAATAGTTTTTGGACAACAGCAATGGAGTTCTATGACACAGAGGAATATCAGACTTTGGCTACATGGCAACACTTGTTAGTAGGATCAATTCATTGTTGGTTTTGGTCTTAATAGGATTTGTTGATAGAAAGAAAAATATAGAATATTGGAAGCCTCATCCTGGAGAGAAGAATGCTGTAAAACAATAACATCCATTTATTATATCTATGTAATACAATATCACTTAAAGTTGGAAAAACATAATACTGAATTATCGCCCAGCCCTATGATAAGGATAGCTATCAAAAGGTTAAATAAAAAGTATTATGTAACATTTAAGAAAACATACGTTCATGAATACTCTGAGGTAAGTTGAACAGTCCTTAAGAATGACTGGGAAGATGCACTACTAAGGTAACAACTTGCAGGTATAAAAAACTATAGATTGATTTGGCAATCAAAATTATTATAATAAATACATACAAAATGAATAAATAAACCCAGGAAATACATACATCAGTAAATAATAATAAAAAAATCTCCCTCGATGACAAACTAAGAGTCTTTATCTATAGTTTTCATTGGCTGGGGGGTTGTGTAGTCCATAAACTTATACTTCTAATAATGAGCCATTCTTTCTGACTGGCTGTCACAACAATGCGCACACACTCAATGTCAAAGGCAATTTTGTGGTCTACATCTTGAACCTCAATGTTGCCATTTTTAAACTCCCCTAATGTGATGTAAGATGAACACTGTTTGCCTTTTTTAGTCCCAATTAGTTTCTCTCCTACTTCCAGAGCTCCGTGGTGGAGAATGTCATTCTGACGGTCATCAGAACCAGTAGCAATTTTAATCTTACATATTTTGGTAGATTTATTAAAGACAATAACAAAGAAGTCTCCTGTGGAAGGAGGCTTTCCCCAGAAGTATTCATCCACAGTGCTGTAAGCCTTGGTGGCATCATAGTTTTCAAAGACATTGATGTTTGTGTAAAGGTTGGCAGGAGGATTGTCAGGAATGTCTATGGAGTCTTCTTCAAAGTCATCGTCCTTCAGCTTGTTCTCTGCTCCTTTGTAAGAGGAGTAGTAGCCCATGTGCTGGAACAGCGAGGGCTTGAACCGGATCACGTCCTTCTGGGCCAGCAGACCCCTGAAGTGGATGAGGAGCCAGTCACAGGGCATTTCCTGGTAGAACATGAGGAGGAAATGAGCAAGACGTGGCAGGTCTTTGGAGTGGTACAGCTTCCCGATGTAGCCCAGCTTGGAGAACTCCAGCATCACCCAGTAGGATCCTTCTCTGGAGGTGATCACCTTCTTCAGCGCCGTCAGGAAGTTCCTGGAGCAGCGAACGTCATCCTCTAACATCATGTAGAAGTGAGAGAGGTTTGTGCAGAAGTTGAGGAGGAAAGCGTAGTCCACGTTCTGCTTAGAGCGGAAACGGACCCGGTCCTCCGGGTCGTTGTAGTTCCTTTTCAGTCCATTCAGAGATGGATAGTACTCCTCAGGGGCCTGGATCACCAGGAGGCGTCCGGCTATGATGTGGTGCGCAAACTTCCTGGTGATTTCCTGCACCAAGTTCTCACACCAGATAAGGTCAAAGTCTGCCAGGTGGACCACAACCACAATCTCTTTCAGTTCCTCGTAACTGGACTGATCAAAGATGGATTTGATCGTCTCCAGAAGGTAGTTTCCTCTTTTTCGTTTGACTGATGACAGTCCAATGGTAAGATACTCTGTGAACAAAAATGAGCATTTAATTTTATAATGTAAACAGAAATGCTTGAAAATGACCAGTTTTAAGAATATTGTACAGACATACAATGACAGGTTGGAGAAGATTAATCATTTCAATCTCATGACTTACATTTGACCTATGATTTAAGCATGAATGGTCACTCTTGACCTTGGGAATAGTAGTTTGACAATATAATCTTAATTTAAGGTCCTAATACAGACATTTTTGGTACTTACAATTACATCTCACACATCTCTCCAGTTGATTTCCTCACATACACAACTACCTATTATCAAGTGACCAAAGCCCCACATACTTAGGTCACATGATGACTGAACAAAGTCCTCCCACTACTGAAGACTGTGAGAAGCAGTTGAAAGCTCTTGAAACAGCTAGTAAGTAGACCTTGAGTTATAGATAACTTTGTCAAAACCGCAGTATTTTGCCACAAAATGTGTTGTTAATACATTTTTCATTCAGGAATATTTATGATGAAACATTTATTACAGTTTTATAACCAGTGGTTTTCTGTAAATACTCCTGGCAAACATTTTGTTGTTCCAATCTCAAATTAGAGTGTTGTGCTCACTGTTGGTAAAAAAGTCAGTGAGTAAATCATGGTATAAAGAGTAGGGCATAGTGTTTAATTTTCAGGTAAAAGATCCTCTGTGGTATAGTTGCATTTTATTCCTTGAATCCCCACATCGCATATTTTAAGTTTAAGTTCTAATTCTCAAATCATGACTTACTTTAACTCCCTCAAGCTCATGAAACTAGTCAATGCAAATTCCTCTTTAAACAAACACTAAACTTACTCTTGCGGTTCAGCGGGGTTCCAGCAAGATAACGATATGTGACATTAATGGTTCCAGAGAAATTACTGAGGTCTCTGAAGGTGTGAACGTATCGTTCTGAGCTGGGAGGGTGGGCGGATGTTTCCCTAAGCTGCCTTTTATCCCCTTCCTGGAACACAACATGAAAAACACAACGTTACCTCACATTATGAACAATAGAGAAAATAAAAAAACACATACAAGCTGTCATAACTATAACAAAGAAACGGGACAGGAATGTAATCTTGAAATTTTCAATTACTACTGTAAGTAATTAAAATGGGGAATACCCAGATGTTTTTTTCTTAAACTTGCCTCTAAAATTCTGTACAAACTTGAGACAATATGTGTTTTGATTTGGCTGAGCTAACCCTCGACGTTTGGAGACGAAAGGAATCTTAAAACCTCTCCAGGCAGTTTGCGTAGTCGAGCAAATGGACTTGAGAACCAGCACCAGGGAGCTGAAAATCTGAACTACCTCTTAATAATTTAAATAACAAACACTGATAATGTACTGTGATCAACAAGTTTTGATGACATCATGAATAAGAAATAAATCATCTGAATGATTTCAACTTGGGTCCATGTTATGAAAATTTAAGCATCTTTCCATTAAAAACATGCAATTCTAAAAGAGACAACAAGGGTGGAGCAAACAAACACATTTTGTTTCAGAAATTTGGTCAAATTTGTTGTTCAGACATGAAGAAGGAATACAAATAGTATGCGGGTAACTAATCTCAATTTCTAATTTGGGAAATGCTTACTGAAACATACACAGCATAAATCTACTAACCATCACATAGCCATCTTCAATGTAGAGGTTCAGGAAGAGCAGGAAGGTAATGAGGAAGCCAAGGAACGGAATAGTGGAGCGTTTCCTCAGACACCTCATCTTGTCCAGGGATTTCCACACCAGCCTCATGCTGTACACGCTCTCACTGGGATCTGCATGAGAAGAACATGATGACACTTTAGACTGGCATGCTTTGAATGTTGTCTGTCTGTCGAGTTGCTGCACGCAAATAATTTGTCTTTTTATCAAACATCAAGAAATTGTGGGAGAATTATTTTCAGGACCATACAACCGTATATGATGTAATTATCTTCCACTAGCATCATATTTTTCTTAAACAGACATCTAATAATGTGTGATAGAGTGGTGTTTTTTTCCTTTTCAGGAAAAGAAGTGGACAAAATCCACTGATTGGCAAATCACGAGAAACTAAAGGCACTGCAAGACATAAAGGATAATAACATGCCAAACAATGCATTACTGATGTAAATCAAATGTACATGTGTGAATATGCGTGTCTCTATATGGGTAAGTGTGGGTGCATATGTGTATGTATACATATGTATATATATATAATTTTTTTTTTCTTCTCCCTTCTGTTTGGTTTGACTATGCATATCATGCACTCTGGACCTGGCTATATTGTATATTAATGTCTTGAAAGCCCATGCAGGCTGGGTGTAATTATACGCATGACACAATTATAAAACATTATTCATGCATTCATGTACTGTCATTCTTCACTAATAATGAAAATATATATCAATTTGGTAGTACTTGTTCAATGTATCCACATACTGGTATGCACAGCTGTGAATGGTGGTTCTATGGTCGTTGGCCAGCATTTCTATACATTATTAAGAGATGCTTCTGGCTGCTCTTATAGTTTCTCCACTTTGTTGTGAAAATTTTACTTTTCCTATTTATAGATTGTAGACTATTATCACACATATTAACATATTGAATAATGTTATGTTATATTATTGTTCCACAATATGTTTCTCTCTTTTATAAATAAGAACCAAACATTTGTTGAACAAAGTTAAATAATAAAATTTTCATGGTGTCGGTGCAGCCTTGTTTATTTACTGTGTGCATTGAAACAGCATAAAGATAAAGATATGTTTTTTTTACGCAGAAAAGATAGTCTGTTAACTTTTCTGATAACTACATCACTGCATAACTCAAATGTTCAGACAAGTGTAATATTTGGTTACTTGTGATGCTATGTGCAATTCAAAAATATTGCTGCAGTTTCTAATTTAGTCATGGATGTCCAGATGTGGCATAGTTATAAGGTACTTGGAGCAGAGCTGTTTTACAGGATAGCTCTGCCTATGAGGCCATGCTTCTTGCCTTGCTTTTGACAACATCAAGCTCTAGCCTGGCCTCTCTCACACAGCTGGCTGTTTACGCCAAATGCCATGAAAAAACACTTTAAAAAACTCTTAGAATTCTTTTAGAAATTGCTTTTGTTGGAGCTTTCTTGTAACTAACTCTTTGATGTCTTGATCAATTTTAAGCTACTGTGAGTGGTGAGTTATGAAGAAGGAGATACACGGGACGGACACAGTACAGTATCAGTCTATTGAATGCCGGTAATACAATCTACTTCAATATCTATAAGAAATATTACCTTTGAGAAGCTTATGATATTCGATTTTTCACAGTGAAACATGTGCTGGTATGATGTTGTAAATAAAAATGTATTGGAACATGTGTTGAGAATATTTCTTAAGGGGCTTTGTTGATGTAACAGGGAAAGGTAAGACAGGTCTCGCTTAGAGTAATTTAGCTGACATTTATAAAGCATGTATGAACAATGCTTTATAAATGATGAATTCCTTATTAACTAATGCTTAACTAATGCTTTATAGTGTGTAGTTATTATAAAGTGCTACCAGTTACATCATATACGGCTTTCAGTTAGAAAATGATTATGTATCAGGCTTAGTCACAACAGGGTTGGCAACTCCTCATAGCAACTGTGCAACTGAGACTGACTGAGAGAGAAAAAGACCATTAACTGCAGCAGCAGAAGTAACAGCCTACAGATGTAACAATGGCGTTGGTCTTTTCTTTTTCAGCAATTAGGCATCAGCATGCACTTTTGTTCCACTGCTGCAAAACCCCTGAGATGCCTAATAGAATACAAACTACCTCTAAGCCCAGTTCAATGACCATACACACATCGATCACTCGCACCAGGAGTCAGCCTCACTTGGGATTCGGCTAGTCAATACCTCTGTGCACACTTGAAACCTGAATTTAACATATCCATCCACTGAGGCCTATTCTGTGCAATTTTCAACTCAGTGTGGTTTAATGTGACTGGCAATTACGAATAATTACAATATTTAAATTGCAGAGTTTTGCTGGAGAAAACTAATTTCAGAATGAATGATCATTAGGGCCACTTTGGAGGACAGTACAGGAGTCCTCCTTTAGTACAAACATACAGACACACACACACACACACACACACACACACACACACACACACACACACACACACACACACACACACACAGACAAGGGCGTGTCCAAGGAGTGGCCAGGGGTGGGGATTGGGGGAGGGTGGCAAGTCACTGAACTCTGATTGGCTATCTGCCCAGTAAAAACAGGAATGTAAGAAAATGTAAGATACTGTAATGTTACTAATTTAAAGTGATATGAGTAGTAGTGACAGAAATGGTAAATTAATGATATTTACTCATGCCACCCCTGCATTAGTCAGTGCCCCACACCACTGCTCTCAGATTGGAGTTTTGGGTGTCTATCCTCATGATACAAAGCAAAGCGAAGCGTCTTTCTTATTTCAATAATTCAGTATGGGCTCACAGCAGGAAGAGGATGAGATGCTCATGCTGCCAAAGGCGCAGCTGGAAAACATGCTTGTTTCTCCTACCCCAGATTTAACTGTGACTGAGATGCACAGCAGAACACCTAAAACATCATCATCCCTATTTCCAGTCTACTGTATGTTCTTGGAACATGCTACGCTATGGAAAAGTTATATATGGAAACATGGATGATCGTATGAATTCACTGTGAGCATCCATTAACAAGAGCGAGGCATGTGTGTGGTGTTCATTCTTGTGGCATGAATCCAAAGTGAAACTGCAGCAGTGAAATGGACTAAGTGTTTTTAATGGGTGTGTCATCCTGGCAGTCACACACTCCCTCAGATGTCCCCAGCACCATTTCAGGACACAGCACACTTCCAGCAGGCTGGGGCTGTTAAATATCCATTATGCACTATGTGTGTGAACTGGACCAAATAAACCACAACACTGCCTCTCCACTCGCTTACACCCAGCAGCGCACTGTGCACTTAACTTGTATCAACTGTCTGTCCCGAACTGCTTTTAAAACATCATGCTCTCAGTAAGAGGTTAAATCCCATTAGATTGACATAAAGGGAGTTTGGTAGCAACAAAACTGTGACAAAATGCAGAGTGTACAAGCTGTAAGGACCTCAGAAATCCAATTAGATACTTGTTAAATTTGATCAAGATTTCTCAAGCCTTGCAATTCTTTTATTTGAATATACTCTGCAATTTGTTGTCTATTATTATTATTTATTTATAACAATTTTGGCTGTAACCCTGCTAGGAGCCAGAATTCCTTGTGAGTGTTTCTACAGTTGTTCCCGGAAGAGATAAGATACGGCCAGAAAGCCTCCAAAAATCTAAAGGAACCACCTGGTTGTATCACACCATGACTAGTGCCTTGGGTTTGGAAATGGCTCTCAGTTGGACATCGTCTGCCCTTCAGTCCTTGACGTCACAGCATGCTGAGGGTTACTGTGTTGTTTTGCAGAAAGGAAGTGAAAACGAGAAACAAGGGAATTGGAAAATTGTGTGAAGAGCTCTGTGTAAACTAAGATCATGATGAAAATGAAAAATGTATGTTCCACAAAGTGCCTTGTACAGCGGGGGAGCATATAATTCAGAACTTGGAAATCTTTTTTTTTTAGGTTGAATGAACTCATGTTACACCATCACCCTAATCCTGAGGCTAAAAGAGTATAACATTTTTAGGGCTGCAACTACTGATTATTTTCAATATTAACCTATAAATGATTATTTCTTGTTTAATCATTTAGTCTTTAAAATGCCATATAATTGCATTCCCACAGTCCCACGTGGTGTCTTCAAACTGCTTGTTTTGCCTGACCAACAGTCCAAAACCAAAAGATATTTAATTTACCATTATAAAAACAGAAAATCCCATATTTGATGAAAAATAATAGATTATTTTGTTGTTGTTAATAATTAATTGTTTCCACACTAGATACAGTGCAGTATTAGAAAGTGGTAGTTTTATATATGTTTTGTTAGCAATATTCCATTGTTCCAGGGTTCCATGCAAAAGGAACCTTGGCAAGCTATCTCTGGATTCATCCTCAATGTCCTCCATGCTTCTCTGGCAGCCAATATGAGATGACTGATCCAGGAATTGTCTTCCTTTCCCCTGCTACACCCCCTCCCTCTAATGGTGAAATCTGACGGAGGCAGACTTCAAATGGAAAACAAGGAACTCCCCAGTGAGGAGAAGGCAATTATGGTCTGGCCTGATGTGCAACCTAATGCCAAGAATTCTATATCACTCCAAAAAAACAAACAAACAAACCAAAACAAAAGCCCTTCCATTCCCTCTCCATTCGTAATGGCTTGATTGCTGCCGAGTGGAAGCAGTCTTCCTGCATGCCAATGATACCACTTTTTGTTTGAGAGCTGTGAAAGGGGAGTGAAGAGCAGAGTAAATGCAAAAAAAGGTATAGCATTGAGCAGAGCGGCACTGACATGCCATAAACATGAGCAGAGTTCCACAGTAATTTCACATCCGTCTTCTTCCCAAGGTTGTTCCTTTAAAGTCATTTAAGTGAAACCACAATGTCAGGATACCTTGGAGAAAACGTGGCTTGGCTGAGGAACACCTGCAAACCTCTAGATGAAATAAAACTGAATAGATTGCTTTTTCAAAAAATGTTTGCCTATAGCATAATGAATTCATTCCTTTGAATGCCGGCAGGGAACTGAGAAAGGCAGAATAATGAAGATGAGATTTGAAAATAAAATATTCTCCTCTGGGAGTCTCAGGTACACACAACATTGAGTCCCTCCATGTGTTATTCAGAAATCA